CATAGCAGGAATCTAGAAAACTTAAATAAGGGACCAGGAAAATGAATAACTATAAGAAAGTGAAAATCAAAATCAACAAACAACTATGAACCAGAGACACTCTATAGGTGGTGGGGGGAGGGGAGGGGACAGATGGGGGTCAAAATAAGGGGATTGCAATTGTATGGGGAATATAAAAATAAAATTTATTAAAAAAATAAATAAAAACTATGTTGTTTACTTATCATATTTCAGGCACTACTCCATATCTAAAATGCATTTCATGCATTTTCTTGTTTAATTCTGACCACATATCTTTGAGGAAGGTATCCCAGTTTTCCAGGTAAGAAAATTCAGGCTTAAAAGAGGAGGCAATTTCCAAAGTGAGCAGATGACAGAGCTGAGTTTGAAGGCAAAATCCCGGTCTTAGCTAAGACTCTACTGCTCATCTTGCCTTAGTTCCCATTGTATACCTCCCCTGTTCCTTTCAGATCAACTCAGACAATGAGTATGATTCAGAGGTATAGGTTCACACTGCCCTTTCCTGAAAGTCTTTGGATGCTATTTCAGTTCCAAGTGAATTCATTGGCATCTTTTGTGTTTTTATGCAATATTGTCATGTCATAATGTTGTCTTCTATTGTAGCTTGGAGGAAAAACCTTGTTACAAAAGCAGCAGCAGAATTCCTCACTGTGAACTGTGCATTATTTAGTTAATTATCTTGATTGGCCTTTTGACTATTAGAGATGCCAGCACCCAGACATAGAAGCTGCATAAAAATTATTGTTGAAAAATAGAAGCTCCTAAGATATGTGCCTGGATTGCCTGGATCAAAGGAAGTGAGAATATCTGTTATTTGAGAAAGGTAAAGCACTAAGCACAGTGCCTAGTTCAAACTAATCATTCACTGGATAGTGGCAATTTTGTTCTATGTAAATAATATAGCAGATATTACTGGGATACCTTAGGAAAAGCAGGTAGAAGAGGGCAAGAAAGCAGGGGAAGAGAGAGAAAGGAGTGCAGCAGTGTGGTGGTGGCTAAGGCCTAGTAAAGGGCAGGCTGGTGAGGTCTTTTCAGAGGTGGCAGTGGCGAAGGGGCCACTGAGAAGAGACATTTACATTTGCTGCCCTGAGCTACCACCTCACCCTCCTTTCCTCAAGTCTTCAGTAAAATCTTCTACAAGTTAGCTTGGTGTCAGTGGTGCTAAGAGAATTCAGGAAGCCAGGTGGTATTTAGAACTTTTGAGACATGGGAACTAAGGAAGTGATACTCAAAATAAAAATAGCAACAAACAAAAACAGGCCACTCAGCAAAGTTAGAGATTTAGAAGTGTGCAGAATAGGAGACAGAGAGATGCCTCTAAGAACTCTCAGAAATATTGAGAGCAAAGGTAATTTTTCTCATCTTTTATGAGAGGAAGGTTCAAGACAATTTTATTTCAATATTAAGGATTGGTGATCCCCTAGTAAGCCAGAGGACTTTGGGGACATACAAATAGTTAACACTTCATGTGGAGAAAAAGGAACTCTCCTGCACTGTTGGTGGGAGTGCTAACTGGTCCAACCACTATGGAGAGCTGTGTGGAGATTTCTTGACCTACTAAACATAGAGCTACCATATGATCCAGCAAATCCACTCCTAGGTATTTACCCAAAGGACACAGAAACATCAATTCCAAAGAGCACCTGCACCCCTATGTTTATAGCAGCACTATTTACAATAGCTAAGCTTTGGAAACAACCCAAATGCCCAAAAATAGATGACTGGATCAAGAAGATGTGGTCCATATACACCATGGAATATTACTCAGCATTCAAAAAAGATAAACACATGCAATTTGCAGCAACATGGATGGCGCTGGAAGGGATCATGCTCAGTGAAATAAGCCAGAAAGAAAAAGAAAAATACCAGATGGTCTCACTCATAGCAGGAATCTAGAAAACTTAAATAAGGGACCAGGAAAAAGAATAACTATAAGAAAGAAAATATCAAAATCAACTAACAGCTATGAACCAGAGACACTCTATGGGGGGTGGGGGGCAGGGAAAGGAGGGCTTGGGGTCAAAATAAGGGGGTTGTAATTGTATGGGGAATATAAAAAATAAAATTTAAATTAAAAAAATAGTTAACACTTCAATCACAGGTATATTATTATTGTATGACTTATGGTATCTCCACCCCCTCACCACCCCTGGCTGTATTGTAACCTCCTTGGGATAGGAACTATGACAAGTGATAGTACTTAATTTATTGGCTTATTTTCCCTGCATGATTTTCATCCTGACATTAACCCCCTGAAGTCATATGGCAAGCATCAGTGTATTTTCCCTATTTAATGCAATCTCAGGGTGGTGACATTCTGTTCCCTGGAATACTTGAGCCAACAATGAACCAAGACTGTGGGCAGTGGAAAAACCTACACACAGGAGGGAAATCTAGCTTTCCATTTCAATTCCCTCTCTTACCATGTGGATCCACTCTCACACAACAAATAGCCCCACAGAGGTATTTGTCTTTCCCCCAAATTCAACATTTACCAGTAGGGCCAAAATCTTTGGTATTTAATATTTAAAGGTATTTAATATTTAAAGGGAAGATAACAATGGCATCATCTCAGAGCTGCATAATTAATGAAATAATTTTTGTATATAAATGAAATAATTAAATGAAAGTCTGATCACTGCATGATACATGGAGATATTTAATAGATGTTCTGTTTCTTTATTGTCCTCCCTTTTGTGGCTCTCCTTCCTTTCTTAATCCCTGAAGTAGGTTCAATGTTCATTCTACCAAGCCATGATCCTTGGGTTTCATTGTTTGTTTATAAGCTCCTGACATATGACTGGCCATCTGACCCTTCACCTGATGGTAACACAGGAGGGCAAAAGTGTCATTGAACTTGGACCAAGAGAGGCTGACAGAACGCCCTAGGTCATGGTCTAAGTACAAGGCCAGAAATCCAAAGTGATGGAGCCAAATCTGATATCAGGTCTAAGAGGTGACGTCAAGGCCAGAACAAGGGACAGTCACATCCTTTACCCTGGGACAAGCCCTAAGTTTAATTCTTGGCCAGAAGATGTCTTTGTAATTAACAAAATACAATGGATGATAAGGTGCATTTCCTAAGGAAAAGAGCTGTCCAGATTCATTGCATATAATAAAAATTAGATGCATTGCATATCCTAAATTATTACATAATAAATTACTGGGTAAGTAGAGGAAAATTTACTGACTATAAACAGGCAAATAATACTTTTGGCACAGGGCTGTCATCTTCAGACACCCCCCCAAAAAAAAATGAATCTATTCCTTAATAATTATATAGTTAAATTAAATGCTACATCTTCCCAATTAAGATAATTATGCTTTTGTAAAAATGTGCTATGGATATAGGAAATTCTTAATAGAGGTTAACTGTTATTATTCTTTTCTTTTAGGAACACTGCAGGATATGAGAAAGAAATGCCAGATAAAGAATAGCATTCTGAGGAGTCCTATTTTTGTACAAGGAAAACATGCTGTGCCATGGCAAGTGAGTGCTGCTTGCCATGTGTGTTTGGTGCCCAGATACCATGGGCCTGACTCAGATCATTGGTGAGGTTTTATCAAGTTTTTTGTCAGAGAACTGAAGGGGCTCAGTGGAATTTATCAAAGTAACAGGGGAAGGGATAAATCACCCACCAGGCCATGTCCTGACATGACACCAAGCACTAAATTTTATTAATAATAACACTTAATTCTCCTACCCTGCTGGTGGACATGCAAACTGGTCCAATCACTATGGAAAGCTGTGTGGAGCTTCCTCAAACTACTAAAAATGGAGCTTCCATATGACCCAGGAATTCCACTCCTAGGAATCTACCCAAAGAACACAAAAACATTAATTCAAAAGAATACCTGCATCCCTATGTTTATTGCAGCACTATTTACAATAGATAAGCTATGGAAACAACCCAAAGACCCCAAAATAGATGACTGGATCAAGATGTGGTATATCTACAAAATGCAATATTACTCAGCAGTCAAAAAAGATAAACTTATGCCATTCGCAGCAACATGGATGGAGCTGGAAGGGATCATGCTCAGTGAAATAAGTCAAAAAGAAAAAGAAAAATATCAGATGGTTTCACTTATAGCAGGAATGTAGGAGAACCAAATAAGGGATCAGGAAAAAAAAGTATTATAATAAATTAAAACACAAAATCAGGGCCTCACTGGTGGCACAAGGGGTTAAGCACAGCACTATGAAGCTATCTGCAGCCTCTGCAGCACAAGTTCAATCCCTGGCCAGCCAGGGAGCTACTCACATGGTGCAGCAGATCCCTCCTGTCTTGCCCACTGCTCCCCTCCGCAGTGTGTTTCAGTCGGTCCACCTGTGCTGCTCCCCACTCTCTCTGGTGAATCCTCTCACCCCCCATACCTGGGCCTGTACCCCAGTTCTTGTATGCATAAATAAATAAATCTTTAAAAAATAAAAATAAAAAAACACAAAATCAACAGGCAACTATATATCAGAGACATTCTGCAGGGAGGTGGAGGGACACGGATTAAAACGGGTGGGAATAGCACAATGGACTACAGTGATGGTGCATGGGTGAACTGGTGGTGGGAATTTTATGGGGACTACACCTGAGAGGAGAAAGCATACACTGTACAAAAAGGAAGAATGATGTGTAATATGTATAAAATTGAAAACTAATAACAGTTAATAGGGCCTCCCTGGTGGCACAGGGGTTAAATCTAAGCACTGTGAAGCTATCCGCAGCAACTGCAGCAAGAGTTCCACACTGGCCAGGTTGCTGACCCACATGGCACAGCAGACCTCTTCTGTCTCATCCATTGCTCCTCTCAGTAGTGTGTTTCAGTTGTTCCGCCTGTCCTGGTCCCTGTTCTGTCTCTGGTAATTCCTCTCACCCTACATACTTCTGGCCTGTACTCCAGTTCTAGTATTCATAAATAAATAAAGCTTTAAAAAGTAATGATAAACAGTTAATAAAACCTCTATTAAGAGGAAATCTTACTATGAATCCAAACTGTTGGGCATTTTATCTACTAGTCACAAACTCCCACTCAGTAGATTCCAAACTCATCTCCTGGCTTCCCTAAAGGCCCAGAGGCACTGGCAAAGGCCTTGTAGCTGGGGAACTGACTCAGTCTACCAGTTCTCATCTTCTCAGGAAGCTGCTCCAGTTTCTGAATAAGCAGTGCTGCAATATGTTGCAAGATTACACTGCAAGATAAGTGTAATTCCGCATTCTCCTGAAATGAAGGAAGATAACTTTATTAGTAGGGAAGGGCCGTCTGGCTGGTACCAGTTTTGAAGTCCGCAAACCTCACCTGCAGTTCAGTCCACAGGCTGGAGTCTCAACAACTTTTCCAGGTGGAAGCTCTGCTGAGTCTTTGGCATAGAGTCAAAGCCACCTGCAAGAAAGACAGCAGAGTGGTTAATGCCTTCGCCTGGCTTACTCCTGTTCCTCCCACCTCCTCAGGCAGTCCCAGTTAGATCTTTCCAAGGAAATTCCTGTCCATGCCACCTTTTTAAGAGGAGAAAGGGGTTCAACCTGGGTCGGAGGGGAATGGGAAGCCTGGACAGGGACCCTGTCTAAGACATGTACTGGGGAAGCCAACAAAGAATCTTTGGAACTGGAGCCCCATCCCTTCTGTCCCTTCCTGTCTTCTTCCTTTCTCCAGTCCAACTGAATCCAATCCTCAGGAAAGGATCTGATACTGGCTGCCTCACAAGAACCAAAGTCAGAAACTGGTTTCTGTGCCTGTTGAAGGGCTTTTAAGTATCAGTGAGCAAGTGAGCAACTGTGTATGTCTTGTTTGGCGTTATTCCTCCGTTGCCTGGGTCAGTGCCTGACTCCTTAAAATTTTGTTGAATAAATGAATTTTGAAGACAGCAAGTCCTTCTCAGGACTGCATACCTATTGGGTCACAGGTGTTGGACAGAATTTCTGGGACTCTGTGTGCTCAAAGATCCAGGCCTGTGTGGGGCCTCAGCAGCAGAATGTACAAAGCCAGCACTAACGAGACATCACTACGTGTAGCTGGGGTGCTGTTGCAGCTCACAGCAGTGATTTATAAGTCTCACCTGAGACTCCAAACTCTAGTTTCCAAATCCTAGTAGAATGTTGACTCTTCCACAGGAAGATGTGAGATGAGCTCCCATCTTTCTGGGCACAGAGCAAAGGATATGGTTTAATACTACCCTGCTCTTGGGGCTGAATCGTAGCCCCCAATTCACATGTCAAAACCCTAGCCCCCAATGTGTCCACAGTAAGAGAGTAATTAAAATTAAATGAGGGAAGCCCTGAATTTTTTTTTTAAGATTTATGTATGCATACAAGAACTGGGGTACAGGCCAGAGGTGTGGGGGGGTGGTGAAAGGATTCACCAGAGAAAGTGGGGAGCAGAACAGGCCGATCTGCTGAAATACACTGTTGAGGGGAGCAGCTGGTGAGCCAGGAGAGGTCTGCTGCGCCATGTGGGTTGTTGCCTGGCCAGCCAGGGATCAAACTCATGCTGCAGTTGGCTGCCAATAGCTTGGTAGCGCTGTCTTTAACCCCTGCACCACCAGAGAGGCCCAGCCCTGAAATTTTCAATAGGCTCTAAAGAAAATAATTGTTTAGTCTCTGCCGAGTGATTTAGGATCTTGCTTTCCTAGAAACCAACAAGACTCAGAACTAAAACCAGAGCATCTTGGTCCTCCCTGGTGGCCCAGCGGTTAAGCGCTGGGTTGCAGAGCTGCCCGCAGCCTCTCCAGCACCGGTTCAATCCCTGGCCATTGGGTGAGAGTCCCACATGGCGCGCAGACCTCTCCTGCAGCCCGCTGCTCCCCTTAGCAGTGTACTTCGGTCCTTCTGCCTGCTCTGCTCCCCGCTCTGGCTCTGGTGAATTCTCTCACCCTCCCGCATTTCTGACTGTACCCAGTGCTTGTGTAAATAAATAAATAAATCTTTTAAAAAATAATAATAATAAAATAAATAAAACCAGAGCATCTTGAAATCTAGAATGACCAGTGACCCACCCTCAAATATTTCCAACTTGATACAAAAGTCCAGCATCTTAATGAGATAGAAGGTTAAGATTGGCCAGAACATAAATCTGATAGATTGTTATGTTAATTTCATAGAAAAACCCTGTTTCCAATAGTCTCTTTCTAGCCCCACCTACTAAGCAGCTGGTTGTATATCAGTTTGAAAAGGACGACAGTATTTGTGATGAATGTCCATCTCCATGGCCACCCCGAGACAGGGCAGTGATACAGGTACAGTCATCAATCAGCAGAGTTCTTCAGCCTCCTGTCCCAAGCCACTCACTGTAATACCCCTCCCCCTCTCCCTTCTACCAGGCTATTCTAATCGGCACCTTCCTGCTACTGCTTCTGGAGGCCACATTCCTCACTCTGATCACTCTGGCCCCACCTCACACACATATAACTTTGTGACCAGGTCTTATAACCCTGAGGCCCTGTCTTTAATTTCCAAGATAATCAGTTAATCATTTAGGATTTTATCTTAAATGCTTTATAATTGTTTCTTAACCTTTGCTAAGTTTTATGCTTTGGCAGCATTGAGTGATTGGAGATACGGAAAAACTATCAGCAGGCTGCTGTTGATCTTAGCTTGACACTCTGGAAGACACCAGCTTTGGCTCCCAGGACTCTTGGACCTTCTTTCCCTCCCCTCCCCCCCCCCCCATTAAATGCAGCTCTTTATCCAGTTCCCCTCAGAAGGAGTTAGCTTACCTGCTAATTTCTAAAAGTTGCTAACAAATTATCCTTTTACCACAAAGTAACATGGTCATTTAAAATGGAGACTTCGCTCAGGGTGAGACCTTGAGACCAAGGCGGGAGACACATCTAGAAATAAGATTCTCTGGTACCAGGGCCTCCTGGCGCACCTGGATCTTCTAAGTATTCTTGCTCCACAAACTATCTCATTTGTGATAAAATATCTGAGAAGTTGCAAAGAGCAAAGGAGTGTGGGAAAAAAGTAGTGTTGTGTCCATTTGTGTGGAACAGAATAGGGAGAAATTTGGCTAGGGCAAGAGTGGGCCTAGAAAGTATGTCTGCTCATTTGAATCTCTCTGAGTATAATCTGGAAGCATTATAGAGGCAGCCGGTGACTTGGTCTCTTAACTGCCATAACAAAATGCCATAGACTGGTTGGGCTTAAATAATAGAAATTTCATTTTCTCATAGTTTTGGAGGCTGGGAAAGCCAAAAGCAAGGTGCCGTTTAGTTTGTTTTCTGTGAGGACTCTTCCCTGTCTGCAGACAGCTGCCTTCTTGTTTTTGTCCTCTCATGGTAGAGAGAGTGACCTGTCTGGTGTCGCTTTTTATAAGGACACCAATCTTACTGGATTAGGTTCTATCTGTTATGACCGCACTTAACTTTAATCCTTTCTTGCTATGGACACACTGGGGGCTAGGGTTTCAACATGTGAATTGGGGCCTATCATTCAGCCCAAAGAGCAGGGTAGTATTAATCTACCATTTGCTCTTTTCCCAGAAAGGCTGGGGTTCATCCCACATCCTCCAGTAGAAGAGTCAATATTCTACTGTTCTAGCACTAGGGTTTAGAGTCTCAGGTGAGACATAAATTACTGCTGTGAGCTGCAGCAGCACCCCAGGTACACACAGTGACGTAGCATTAATGCTGGCTTTGTACATTCTGCTGCTGAGGCCCCACATAGGCCTGGATCTTTCAGCACAGAGTCCCTTTGCTCATAGCTAAAATAGTCATTATATAAATAGTTTATTTACAGCCAAAGATTTCCACAAATTTCTTTTTTCAAGGGGCATGAAATCTATACTAGCATCTTCTGAGACTAAAGCAAGTTAAAAATAATAGGATGACACAAGGATAGAGATTTGCAAAATTCAACAGAGAAGAAAAACAATTTCATCTGGACAACCTTTCTATTAAATCACTGGGGTAGAGATTGAGTGTAGAGTATCTCTTACCTCAGCCAGCCTTGGTTAAAACATCAGAAACCTCTACTTCTCTTGCGGCGTGTGACTCTGAGGTTCTGAAGAAACTTGTTAAAGATGAAGGCAATTTCCATTTCCTGAGACTAAACCAGGCCAAAAGTGGGTTTACAAACATTACAAAAGTTAGTAGCAGGACCTCTTTCCTAAGTTTGGGAGCTACACCTTGGGGAATTATGTAGTAATCAGTTGTCCCCTATAATAACTTTGTTTAAGGGAAGAGTATTTACGTAACTGTGATTAGATAGAATAAAGATTAAGAAAAGTAGGGATTCATTCAGTCCAACTTTTTCATTTTTACAGATGGGGAAGCAAGTATACTGAAGGATGTGATTCTATGGAAGTGCCTATAGTGGGTTGAATAGTAGTCCCCCCAAAATGATAAGTCTATGTCCTAACTCCTGGAACCTTGATCTTATTTGGGGGAAAAAAAAGTCCTTGCAGGTGTAATCAAACTAAGAAAGTTGACATGACAGCTTCCTGAATTAAGGGTAAGGCCTAAATCCAATGATAGGTGTCTTTGTCAGAGAAAGGTAGATGGAGATTTGAGACACAGATCAAACAAAGCAATGTGAGGACAGAGGCAGAGGGGGAGTAAGCGAGCCACCAGTCTACCCACCACCAGAAGCAGAAAGAAGCAAACAAGGATTCTCCCCTAGAGCCTTTGGAGCAACTGCAATTCAGCTAAAACCTTGATTTTATACTCTAGTCCTCAAGAATGGTGAGAAGAAAAAAGTTCTGTTGTTGTAGCTACCTGCTTATAACTTATGACTGCAACACTTGAAAATGAATTCATTGCCAGAAGGGCTGAATTACACTTAAACCTAAATCTCTGGATTCCTTCAATCTTATGTTTGTTTCTCTGCCATCATTTCACATCCTCTGAGTTCTGATCTTGTCAGAGATGTGAAAAAATTCACTCTTCACTGCTGAAAATACAACTTTGGAAATGGAGGATATGAAGAACTTTTCAGATGCTATAGCTTCCATGAGTTAATGCTTAGCCATCCAACTAAGCTTTCTAGGTTTGAAAGTAATACATCTGACTGAGGTATTAATAAAGATCTGGAACAACCACCTGATAAAATATAACCAAAACATAATCAAAAACATGTGCCGGGCCTCCCCGGCGGCGCAGCCATTGAGCTCTGGGTTGCGAAGCTGTCCGCAGCCTCCGCAGCACTGGTTCGATCCCAGGCCGCCGGGCGAGGGTCCCACATGGCGCGCAGACCTCTCCTGCCGCCTTCTGCTCCCCTCAGCAGTGTACTTCGTCAGTCTGCCTGCTCTGCTGTCCCCTCTGGCTCTGGTGAATTCTCTCACTCTCCCACGCTTCTGACTGTACCCAGTGTTTGTATAAATAAATAAATAAATCTAAAAAAAAAAATGTGCCCACTGACAATTAACAAAGTACATATTTTGTGAGTCAA